CAATGAGCAGCTCACCACACTGTGATTCCACATAATCACACTGTGATTATGTATTATAATGTACATATTTCTTTTCCAACATGATCTCTGAATAACAAGTTAGATACCTGATCCAGCACTCAAAGGAAAAGTAATTCTATTCCAATGCTAGAGGAAAAATGTGTTGACGCTCCGTTAGTTTCCAATGTGGTAACTTCCTAAGTGTTTTTTTTTAGAGTAAGCTTGAAGATAAGTAATTTTTGCATGCCACACCGACCTTAGCATCTAAGATACAACTTTTCTGTAACTGCAACTCTAACTGCCCTCCAATGGCACTCAATCACTAACATCATTTTACTGCCATGATTAAAAATATGGTGTCTTAACTCGGCCAGCATAGATTCAAATCCTAATTCCAAGCAATAAGTGGTTGTGTGACCTCAGGGAAGTTACTTAGCCTCCCCGTACTTTAGTTTTCTCATTTACCTTGGGGATAATAGTGCCTCTACATCATAGGGTTGGTACAAAGAAGATTTAAGGCAACTTTATACATAATATATATTCAATAAATATTTGATAAATGAATGAACCAAAGTATCATTATTATGCAATCTAACTTACTTCTGGTAAACTTATTTCCAAAGGACTGGCCTAAGTAAACAGTAGTGACTACCACTTAATAAGCTCTACTGCTGTTACCCAATAATTCATAAGCTTGCTGATAAAAAATCCTCTTTTCTTTCTTTCTTTCTTTTTTTTTAATAGCAACACCTGATTCTAGGCAACTGCATAGTGAGACTGAATATTTATTTCACTTTTTGGGTGGTTAAAAAAAAAAAAGATTATACATACCAAAAATGTAAGGGTGACCTTGAAAAATAAAACTAATATTATATTACATCCAAGATGCAATTAATTGTATAGCTAAAATGAGAAAACTGAATTCTTCATCTTCATACAGACGAAAATGGACCACCAAACTACACTGTTTACCTTTCTGCCGATAAGTTATTTCTAACTGCTACAATAAAGATGCTTTCACTTTTTACATTGTGTGTGTGTGTGTGTGTGTGTATGTGCATGCGCATATTGCTAAAACATAAATCTCTAAGACTGCAACTTTCTATAACATTTCAAATGCAATAATACACACCATTGATGACACTATTTAACATCTAAATCACCTGTGCAGTTTATATTATGGAAAAAGATTGTTTATCATGGAATTAGCTTAAAATTCTTGGCATACATTACCAATCATATCAACCTTAATAACCCAACAAGATCTAAGAAGCAGTACTTCAGTTCTGTCTTTCACATATTAGTATGCTAGGTCAATGTGAATTTTTTATCCAAGATTCAAACAACATAGCGACTTACTTTTTAAAAATTAAATTTAGGACTTATCAAAGACTTACATTTAAAAATAAAAACTGGGAGTTTTTATTTTTACCAAGTTTTAAAGCCAAATATCAGCAATCACTTTTCGACAATATCTTGTGGAAGAGTAAATTGGTAAATTCACGAAGGCAGGCAAAGCTACAGCAACAGAGCTGTTCAATTTATTCTATGCCATTATTACAGTACTGTGAAAGATCAGAGGATTTGTTTTCAGGACCAAAACCTGACACAATTTTTTCCTGAATTTAGTCTGCATGTTTTGAAAATAATATTTTTACTCTCATAAGTATCTAGGTTAAAGCAAATAAGATACTACCATAAGACTCACTGAAATATGAAAACTTTCAAGAAGCACAAACTATAAGCTCCTTTGAAATAAGTACTACTCAATTTTACAGTCACCTTGCCTAAGGCAGGTGATACTAAAGGTAAAAACTCAAAGCAAGATACTGTGGTTAAAAAATGAAACAAAACAATAAAGAAAAAAGGAAAATGCATCAATTTTGTTGAGGACAGAATGAGATACCATTAGGGAAGAACAGAATCCATTGAAAGTTAGTTTCTTCCACATCTGTATTCTGTTATAATGAATGTTGCTTGCAAAAGCAGGATAGTAACAAGGTCTCCAAAATGCTGTTATACAGAAATTTTGCTGTAATAGAAAATGATTCCTTTGCCATGTCCACATAGAAAACTACCCTGATTTTACAGACCTCTAAGAAAGAACAAACATCTTTCTACAATTTATATTAAACTTCTGAAAATAACTCCTTTTTATTCAAAGGTAGGGAACATGTCTCCTTTATTAATTTCTGTATGTCTGCCCCTAGTAGAGTGCTGGAGGCACTGTGCATGAAAGCACTTACATTTGTTCATAAATTCAGCAAATAATTACTGAGCAGTTAACTTTGTGTCAGACACTACTGTATAAGTAGTGAGGTAAGGAACATGACAAATGAGGGCCCTGCTCAGGTAGCTTACAGTCTAGTGAGCGAGACAGACATTTACCAAATAAACACAGAAATAATTAAGTTCCTCTTGTGATGATGCTACAAAGAATTGCAAAGTATGGTGAAGATATAGTGGGAACTTACTCTAGTTTGGGGAAGGAGGGGTCAATGGTCAGAGAAGGTTCCCCTGAGAAATAACATTTAAACTGAGACTTGAAAATTAACTAGGAGTGGGCCAGACTTGGGAAGGGGAGGGGAAGCAGCCCAGGCAGGAGGAGGTAACACGTACAAAGGTCAGGAAAGAGCTTTTGTAGGTAGTAATTGGAAAGCACGGTAAATGAGAAAGGCTGGGGTTAAGGATGGAGAGCTAGATAGAAGACAAGAAAAACTGTGAGCATTAAACAGAGTAAGAGGGTAACAGTATTTGAATATGTAAATCATTTTAAGTCTTTTTCTCATGTAAAATAAATAATCTAAGGGAACTGAGTCTTTATTCCACAATATTAAATATCTATAGTCAGAAGACCTGGATTATGCCTTGGTCCCACCAGTTACGAGCTGCGTGATCTTGCACTTAACCAATCTGAACTTCTTTATTCTCTTTGTAAACAGGTACTCAATTATTTTACCTACTGGGAAACACAATGATAACACAACAGTCCTATTCTTACAGATCTTACATCCTTAAAGAAAAAAAGATCATGTATATGGGACACAACCTAAGCCCTATAAGAGATGAGGTCCAAAAGTTCACACAAGGCTCCTGCAAAACCCAAAATGACAATAAATGCGGACATTGGTGAACTGCAAACTACTATAAAAATACAAGCGTACACATCATTCTGTGAGCCCTAAGTTATTCAGTGTGCAGAGCTCCAAAATGACCACAGTACTCCAGCATCTGACTGAAAGATGATAAATACAATAGAAACATTATCCCACCATTCCGTTACTCACCGTTCGCCATTGGTGAAATACCAATACTATAATGAAGCTCAGAGATGAAGAGCAGTTGGTGTAGAATCGAACCAAGGACAAAAACTAACACTCAGTAGACAAGTGCATTATATTAATTTTACTAATTTCCAAATTTTCCTGACTTTTGGTTCAAAAGTCATTCCACAACCTCCTAACTGCATGTCAATAATAAGAACTCATTTCTCACTTCCTCCAACAAAAAGCAAATGCCTACACGGCCATATAGAAAATACTTTCACATTCTTGCTTTCCCATAACTGACTCATATTCAGTTTATGGTCTATTTAAACGACCACACCCTTCTAATACAGCACTGAGCCAGTTACCTCCACATAATTTTCCATTTGTTCAGTCAGTCTTCCTTCCTTGTCTATTGCATTACTTACTTATGGTACTAATTACTTTTTATTTTACTTCATTCTATAGTATCATACCTCCCTTTCATTTTAAAAGTCATATTAATTTCCAGACCATCTGAGTTTCAACCAAAGAGGAATGTAAGAGTATTTCTGATCCTATAAAGTGTTTTTGCATTCAAAAGTTAAACACATTGTGGATAATTTTAATAATTTCAGAGTACATTCAAAATACTGCATATTTAAATGGTCAACTTATACAACAGTAAACCATGACTGATTACCTGCTATCAGTAGATACCCGATTTTTAGCTATAAACTTATCAGGAAGAGATCTTAATGTCAATGAACATACTCCTAAAATTCTATTAAAGAACTGTCTAATAATAATATATGTGAACTGTAATTATAATTGGTCACAACAATGGGTAAGACTGGAACAAGCACACTGCTTTCTGCTCAACATACAACACAAATGTCCATTTTTCCATTCTTTAATATAAAATAAGGATGAGTTAAAACTCATAGATGATGCTAAGAAAAATAAAATATACAAGAGCCTGATGTTATTAATTACACACACACACGAGCCAAGAAAATGAGGGGAAGTAAATAAAAATCAACAAAATGTGATGCTACTCCAAGAAATGCAACGTATCTTCTTTTCTAGTAATGAGCACAACTAGAAATAAACTCTTTCTTGCTGCTGCATTATTTGAAAAAGTGTAAAATAAGTTTCGTGAAAGAATCCTAATCCCATTGTTCTCAGCTGAGAGTAAAAAAACAGAGTAAAGACTAAGGTAGGAAGGGAAAGGAATATCTTTCACCAGTAAGGATGAGCTGTATCTTTACCTGACTTTCTCCTGTCCCATCAACTACCATTTAAAATGGCAGCACAGTCCATCACTTAATATACCTCTAATAAAAGGAAAAAATAGGTAAGTTAAAACTGATTCTTCTTATTTTTCCAACAGGTTAGAGTGCGTCCTTTTCTTTTGCTGAGGAATTTCTCTCCAGCTCAAAAAAACTCTTCACCTCACAGATGGCTTCTTAGAAATACCTAAAATGCATTACTTTGCAACTTCCTCCACCCTCTTCAAAAAAAAAACAAACAAACTCCCTACTCCTTTCTGGTGCGGTAGCTCCGACGCAGAAGCTGTATTACAACTAGATTAGATTCAGACGATCTGTCCCTACGTGTGTGACCTTGGGCACGTCATTTATCCCCTCAGTTTCCTCATCAGCATCCAACTGTGAATGCTCTTTGAAAACAGTAAATATATCTTAGGAATTACATCTTTATAGCGTTAAGCTTTTCTACCTTGGGTAAAATCACGTCCTTAGAGGGACCACGTCATGAAACTGGTACTGAATCCGTAGGTCTCTGTCAACATTTGACTCTTTCTTCTACAGTTCTCCTCTTCCCTCAAAGGACATAACCCGAGTCACCTCAAAAGCAGACTCCAAGCGCCCCTTCCTTCCTCCACTCCTTCCCTCTCCTATTTCTAAAGCAGGGGGAAAACAGCAGCCTCATCTCCCCGCCCCAAGCCACACCTTCAGAGGACCCCACCCCAGGCACATCCGCCCTCTCCCTCCTCCGGGGGCACCAGAGGCCAACCTCGCCCTTCCCCTCCCGCCCCCACCTAGAGGAGACTTCCTGGAGGCGTTCAGGCCCGAGCAGGGCAGGCGGCATTTACAAACCCGCTTTACGCCACTCGCGTAGGGTAACCTCGCTTACGCCCATAGGGCCCCGTTCCCAGCCCCGTCCGCTCCGCCTGCCAGAACCAAGCCCGAGTGCCTCAGCCACGACCCCCGTGTGACCCCAGAGCTCGTCTGCTCCGCGCGGGACTACGGTGACTGGGACAGAACAGCCACACCTTACCGGCAACTGAGGCAGTGACTTCACTTGCCACCTTTGGAGCCCTCTTCAACTCCCAGATCAATTCACTCCGGCGACGCCGGAAGGACCCGAGAGGAACCAGGCGTTGTCCGGAATCCTGCCCTGCCGGAGTCGCGCAGGGGCCTATGGGGACTCGTAGTCCCACTCGCCGGTGTTGTCGGCAACTCCTGCATATGCAAGACTACAATTCCCGTCAAGCCATGCGGCGGAGCCTTAAGCTATGGGTGGGGACACTTTTAGCCAATAGTAGGAGAGTTCCCTGTCTTTGCGGGAGGAGGTGAGAAAAAGAGAGGGTGCACGGAAAGAAGAGGAAGGGAGGGGTGAGCTCTCACCTGCGCCAATCAGGATGCAGGGTCGGCCCGGCAGGCGACTCACCCATTGTGGGGGCGGGCTAGCGGAGCCGAGGAAGGAAGGGGGGCGGGGGGAGAACTCCAAGTGGGGAACGTGGGGCGGCCGAGCTGCGCGGGCGGAGAGGAAGCCGCGGGATAATAGGCAGGGTGGAGGGAGGGCGCGGTGTGAGGATTCACCCTGGCTGGAGGAGCAATTTCCCCGAAAGCGGCCAAGCACCAGGCACACCGAGCGGCGAGACCTGCGGCTCAGGCAGGGATAGGTTGAGTCTGGGCTCCTCGCGGAGGTGCCCGGACGGGGCGGGAGGCTGCTCTAGGTGTCAGGCCACTGAGTGAAGGGAGAGGGGTCCCCGGGGAAGGGAAGCGGCAGAGCAGCTGCAGAAGTGCGGCGAGCGCGAAGGTACTAGGGCAGCAGCTTCCCGCCGCCTTCAGCCAGGGAAACAGCCGGAACAGCAGGGGGAGGAGCAACAGCTGCCGAATTCGCCAACTAGAGGAGGGGGAGGCGGAGCTTAGGTCCCTGTAGCAGCAGAAGGCGCAGCCTGGACTGTAGTTTCCCGGGAGAGAGGAGAGCAGGAACAGGAGAGGAGCGCAGTCCTCGGAGCCTCTGCTCCAGCATCCCGCCAGGGGTTGCAGGTGTGTGGGAGGTAAGCGTGGGTGCCTCTTTGGGCGTCTCCTCTTCCCGGGAGAAAGCGTCTTCCAATAGGAATTTTATCAAGGCACAGCTAAAAAGAGTCTCTGACTCGGGTTAGGGAACTGGTGCAAACCCTTTTAGGTGAAAGATGTACGTTTTTGGAGTTTGCGGGGGGATAAAAAGCAAAAGGTGGCTTGACTCAGGGTATAAAGGGCGTGGTTGGTGTTTTGGGTTTGAGTTGTACCATTAAAATTATTCTGGGAAATTTTAATATTGAGGAAACTGCTAATTGAGGGCAAGGTGGATGATATTTGGATAGGTGCGTAGCTGGTAAAAAACAAAAATTTTGTCACTGATAGAGAATTACTTCAGAACTGTTTCACTAGGAAAATAACTTAGCATTCTTCTTTACTATCTATCCTTCCCGTTGTTTTATCAGATTGCCCTGCTACCGACCTGTTTTCCAGGGTGGTTATACTGCAGGTTCCTAGAATTGAAAGAGATGTCCATTAAAGAAGGAAATACAGTCAGGAATAATCACGATGCCTGAACCTATCAGAAGTATAACTTTTGCCAGCAATAATGTAAAAATGTTTTTTAATGGAGACACTTCGCTTTCCTTCCAGTGGCTTTAAACTATCGGAACAAAGACTAGGACTCAGCCTACAGTGGGAACGTATGGTGTACTTCACAGCTGCTCCTTATTCTCTCATTTGTGTCTAGTAATATTTGTACATTTTAAAAAACAAAAGTACAAGAAAAGCTGTGCAAGGATCTTTTCTGTTTAGATAGTGTATGCTAAATGATTTCCCTTAGTATGTGTTATGATGGGCTCAGGCTTAACACATGTAATAGTGTCATAAAATAATAGTTTATTCTTAGTATTAAACCATGTGTGATTTCTTTGAGTGTAATTAAACACCAATAGGTGAAAATGTTTTAATACTAAGATGAAAGTCACATCTACCTTTGTGTAACTATGACAAAATTACAGCCTTTTTTTAAAGAAAAAAACTGTAAAAAGCTATTTGCCTAGTTCATTTTCTTTTTCTTTTTGTCACAGAGGTTCTCCAGATTACATGGCTTTTAATCATAGTAGCATATTGCAGCACATTTTGCTCTGAAATGCTTTCCTTGTGACAGTTGTATATTTCAGAGTCTGCCTGAATACTTTAATCTGGGTTTTTGTTTTTGTTTTTGAACTAGGGTCAATAAAATGGAGTAATTACCTTCTATTCTTGTTTGTTTTGTTTTGTTTTCATGGTTTGCTGATTTACTCATGATTTGGGGATTTTATTTCTGTGATACAAAATTCCTTTTTGAAAAGAAATGGCTGGAAAGAATTCTCTTCATAGCTTCCAAGTTCAATCCTACTGAGTGCTACTACTGATAAGCCTAAGTGACTTATCAATGTATATACTCCAACACTCCCTCCCATACCCTCACCCACTAGAGGAATATATAGGGGGACATATCTTAGAAAAACAGCTGCTTTTCGATTGTCCTCAAGTAGATCAGGTAAGTATTAGGAACAGCAAAGAGCTTAGAAGAAAGAAAAAGCAACAGTAGCCACTAAATTTAGCAGCCATGGTAAGGATGGGATTTTATCTTTGCTACATCACAGGAGAGTCTGTTAATCCACATAGCTGATATGACCCTATGAAAATGATTTTAGGGGGAAAAATGGGTACTAGGGTATAGTTAGGCTTGGAAAAGATTGTGTTTGCCTTTGTTATTTCTGATTAAATAGATCATCCTGAATCAGAGTCTCAGATTCTCTCTCAGGCTCTGCTACTGATTCATTCTGTGAAATTGGATACTTGCTGTCACTGGGTCGTTTCCCCCATGTAATAATAATAATTAATAATAATACTGGCAATGAAGTTCTTTCAGGGCCTTTATCAGAAGATCTTTTTGAAAGGGTTTGATTGGGAATCAGTTAATAATCAAGTAAGTGAGATAGAAAATAAATACCATAACAGTCGAAATTCAGATGTACTTTGAATCCCAACTATTTATAGGTCTTCTGCTTTGAAGTATCAAAAGGGATAGAATCTCATTAGGAATGAATGAGTCTGTGGTATTAAAGTACTGGATTTTTCACCTTTTTCCAAGATATGGATCTTTTTTGTGTCAGTGAAAGAGACTGGCTTCCTATAACATTTGAGAGTAAGAAGACCATGTTTTTATAAGGAAGAAAATCATTGGCAGTGTGTGGCACTTAAGTGTTACCTTGCACACTTGACACATTTTAAATTGGTGTTCACATTAAATCGCAGATAATCTGAAGACTTCTTGTACATTACTGGTGTTGAAAATGTTCATCGTATGACAGTTTACAATTTTACGTGAAGTACCTAGGTTAAAAGCATATTATTCTGTGCTTGATTTTTACTCTTTGCGTATGGCTATCAGAGTATGCATGTGATGAGAAAGAAGAAAACCAGTGGAGTGCAGAATGTCTCTCAAGTGGAAGATGCTCATGAAATTAGTGTTCTTTAGCTGAAAGACTTGGTTAATTTCAAATTACAATATACTTTGGAGTTTTTAAAAATTTATAATTCTAACTCTAAGCCTATTGAGTAAAAATAATTGAGTGGCATGGGTTTCTCTTTCTAACAGGAGGATTCACTGATGCATGCAGTACAAAAGAGCAAGACGTAAAGGTTCAAGATCAAATGGTTTTTGGGGGGGCGGCAGTGGGGGAGAGGTGGCATACAAGGGGGCATAGATATGAAGAAACCTGTTTGAGACACATACCCTTAACAAGAGAGAAAGAGATTTGACCTTTTTTTTTGTTGAATGCCTATAAGTGATTTCATGACCTGTTTTCCCAGTTATTAATTTCTAGAGGCTTATACCCATAGTGGGAGACAGTACTTTCCTACATTGTCATTTTAACTGGAGTCAGACTGACATTAATTCATTAGGTTTTGAATAATTATGGGTTACTGAAGCAAAGTGAAAAGGATCCTGCATGTATACATTCACTTCTAAGTGAAACTTAATATTATTTGGATAAAATATTAAAAAGTAAAAACTGAGGTTTTCCCCCTTAATAGCAAAGGTACTTGAACCAGACACTAAAGATGAGCAGGACCCTCCCCTCCCAGCCCCTGCTGCCTTTTAAAGTCATCTCCTAAGGTTAAACAGGCTTTGGGGAGCAAGATTGTTATACAAAGGTAAAGATTTGTTTCTGTCTTATTTTCAATCTGATGTCTAATGTTTTCAGAATTTAGTCCTTAAAGTTTGGATCAGTGTGTTTTAAGTTAACAATGATTAGTTCCTAGACACTATGCTTCTTTCCTATCTCCTATTTGTTCTCAGCACCTTATATAATGCTCAGCAGAAAGAACTTGCCCTATAACCTTACTGAAGTGGGGACCAATAATTCTTTAATGTATGCATTGATACATCTTGCACTTTGACAAATGAGAGTCAGTTGCCCTCACAGAGTAAGTACTATACATTAGGCCTTCTGAGAATGACCTTGTGCTGGTTAGCCTTTGCAAAAGTGTTACTTGAGCCCAATTTGATTCAGACTATGTGGACTGCAAAGACTTACCTACAGCTTCATGTGCCAACATTTCTAAATTCTTCCAGAGACAGGCAGTTATA